AAAAAAAAAAAAAAAAAAACTAGACTTAATTTGTTATTACAGTCATGGATTTGTTCCGAACGGTGGTCGTGTCTACTACTTATTACGTTCCCAGCCTCCTTTGTTGAGTCCAATGGTCTATGAATATTATTTGGCCACGGGAGACTTAGACTTTGTTCAAGAGGTTTCATTTTCTCTTTGTTTTACTTTTTTGTCTCTTAGATAGGCTTATGAAAGTTTTTAGGTACTGCCTCTTTTGGAGAAAGAGTACAGATTTTGGCTTTCACAACGATCGCAGTCTTGGTTTGATGAATCGTCGGAAGAGAAATTTCAGTTTTTTCAATACCGAGTTAAAATGAAAACGCCCCGCCCAGAATCTTATCGAGAAGACATGGAACTTGTGAAAGATATTCAGAAACAAGGTTTGGCCTGACAATTTTTTAAATTCCAAATCGTAAGAAACGTTGATATCAGGAATTTATCTATTTTTTACAATTGTTTTTCAGCCGATAAAGAACTTTTGTGGTCAAACGTGGCGTCAGCCGCTGAAACTGGATGGGATTTTAGTACCCGATGGTTTGCGCAAAGTGGACCAGGCATGCACGATATGAAGACCATTCGCACGTGGTCTATCGTACCAGTAGACCTGAATGCTTTCATGTGCATTAATGCAAGAATTCTTGGAGCTCTCTCTGAAATCACAGGTTTTTTAGTTTTGTTTACTTCTGAGGTTAATTTACAACATTTTTCCAATAGAAATCTTCTCTAGGTGACTTTAAAAAGGTCATTTATTACCAGTCAAAATATGAACAAGCGAAGGTAGCGATGAAGAAGCTAATGTGGAATGAAACTGATGGTATTTGGTACGATTACGATCTTGAAACAAAGGTTTTTGACATGTTATTTGTAAACACGGTTACCGGAAAATGACTGTTTTTTGAAATTTAGGCTTTATTTTTGAAGCTTTTGAGAACTCTATTTTCTGCCGAATTGTTTAGGTTTTGTATTTTGAGGATTCTTAATGGTTTTTTTTGATTGCTGTTCCTTTGCAGCATCACTCCAACACATATTACGTCTCGAATGCTTTACCTTTGTATGCCAAGTGTTATGACGATGAAGATGATGTAACTCCCCATAGAGTGTATGAGTACTTGAAGGTTGGGAGTTTTTGTTGAAGAGTGTAATATTTCATCAGTTAGCTTAGTCTGCTTTTAATTAATCTTTTTTCAATGACTTGCAGAGAAGTTTCTCAGTTGTAGTATATTTTAAGCTTCTGTACTCGTTGCTTGTTTTTTTTAGAGGGAAGGTGTTCTGAATTTTACTAGTGGTTTGCCTACCTCGCTTGCCATGGGTAGTGAGCAACAATGGGATAAAGAGAATGCTTGGCCTCCGATGATACATATGGTTATAGAAGGTTTTCGAACTACTGGAGACCCACTGCTAATGAAGGTATTTAATATTGGTTGATAATTATTAGGAATGTTTGTAAAGATTTTGTGGGAATATTTTTTGGAGCTGTTTTTGTTTATTTTAAGCTTTAAGATTTTCCTAGTTTTGGACGTTACTAAACTGAAGAATTTTCTCGTTAAAAAGAAATTTAGTAGTCATGAATTGATAGGCTGATTATTGTATAAATTAATTTTTTAGCGTAGAAGTTGCGTACAAAACAGCCAGAATTTGTCGTAAAGAACTTTAGGAGAGTTTAAACATTAGCTTATGAAGCAAAATTGTAGTTTTTTAGTTATAAGGGTATGGGAAGCATTCTTGTCTTTACCTTTTCATTTTAATCTAAATGCTGTTCAGGCAGCTGAGAAAATGGCTACCAAATGGCTAACCGTTACGTACAAATCGTTTATTAGAACCCACTCTATGTTTGAAAAGTATAATGTTTCTGCCATGTTAGAGGAGTGTGCAGCAGGCGGAGGAGGTGAATATGAAGTTCAGGTTCGTTTGCTTCTTTTACTTTTTTAAATATATTCTAATTTCAAATTTTCAAAGACAGATTCATTTTCGCTGATTGTTCTTATTGGGGGATTTCGGGACAAATTAGAGTTAAGGTCATTACCATCTAAATATTAAGTGCGTGGCATTTGCTTACAGACTGGTTTTGGATGGACTAATGGAGTAATTCTTGATTTATTGGACAAATATGGCGATAAGATGAATTCGGGTGCTTTGCCTAAGGGTCTTTTTTCTACACTTTCATTTCTTTGGTGCTTTATTTACCTATGGCGGGGTTTATAATACATTCTGAAAGTTTCTAGAATTATAGGGTGCAGCCTTTTGTTTCAGTCATCGGTTTAAGTGAAGGTATATTTGTTGCAGCTTGTGATGGATTGTCAGGGGTAACTAAGTCTTACTTGCTCACTTTTGCATGTTTTCACTATGGAAGATACTTTTTGGGTTACTGATTTCTATATTTTTCTCTTTTTTTTTTCAAATTTTGTAGTAACATGAGTGCATTTTAGTCCGGTCCTTAAATTCAAAAAGGTCATAGATTTTACTTTGAAAGGAATGGTATTTTTAACTTCTTTTGCTTTTAAAAAATAACTAGGGTGCTATTAACGTTTTAATGGAATTAATTTTCATAATAATATTGTTGTTAATACTTCTATTATCGTTAATGTATTTGTTATTATTATCTATAAACTTAGGTTTGCGGGTACTGTATTTTAGAAATATTTTGAATGTGTTATTTGAGAATATTAGATGTTTGTAATTTTACTTCTATCGTCTAAAATCGTATTTCGTAGTGCCTCAAATTTGGCAAACTGAATGTTTTTTTGGTATCGCATTTAACATTCCGAGGCAAGTGAAATTATGCAGATTTTAGTTTTTTGACGATTTTTCATTTCTTTTTTATTTTCAATAATAGCTGCCATGTCTTTCCTCGACTTCTTCATAATGCAGTTCGTGCTATTCTGTAGTAATCATCTTACTTTATTTATTTATTTGGTAATAATATGTTGTGAAATTCCTTTATTTTCCGAAGTGCCGAGTTTTTGGAGTTGAAGCTTTGTCATTCTTTTTTCCTGGTGAGCAATTTGCATATTTGATAGAAATTATAGGATAAATGCATTGTAGATCTTCTTTTCCTAGTCGTTAAATTGTGATGATAATGTTATTCGTGTAGGTAGGGTAGGCGTCGTTTGCCTGATGGCTATTTTAACAAAATTTTAGAATATTTGTTGGCGTTTGTTGTGTGATATCGGGGCTTTATTTAGTTTTTGAACGGTGAAATTTGGCAGTTATGCCACAAACGGTGCTTTCCTTTGTGATTGTAGTTGCATTATTATTATTAGTAGTAATAAGTCAGTCGTATTATGCATACTGGTGTTTGGCCGCAGTAATCTATTCTATGCATAATTATATCACCTTTGACAGTGTTGATAGCTTTAGTTTTGTACGGCTTTGATAGTGGAATAATTTCGCAGATATTTTAATTGTAAATGGTTTTTTATTGAAACGAAAGCAAATAAAGGTCGACAAGCTGGGATTCAGCGTTTTAACTGATATTGGTTGTGTTGATGGACAAAGAAGAGATTCAATGTAAGTGGTTGGTTATGCAGAGTTGTAAGGTGGTAGACAAAAGTTCTACATTTTCATGTCATATTTATGTTGGGTTTTTTGACTGGAAACGGTAGTTACCTAAATTTTCTTAGCGAAGAGGTATGTTATATGAAGCATAAGTGATTGGAGTATTTTTGTTGGTGGGATGGTGGATTGCTAAACTTTTATGGTGGTATATACTGTTTGATACTGTGAATTGTTTAACATTATTATAATTTTACTGAACAAATTGTGATCACCTAATATTCAAAAGAAAAGATTGCCATTAAAATAGCAAATTTTCAAAAAATTTTTAGCTTTTTGAACGTCATTAAAGCACAAATTCAAAGAATGGCTTTTCGAATTACTTATTTACAAACATTTTATTGCACTTTTTACTAATTGTTTAGCGCCGTTTGAAAATCCAAAATCTATAAAATTGCTCAAGTTTTCGTTGTTCTTTAATCTCTGTCTGTTGGATACATAGCGATTTGTTGCAATAATTCCCTAACAACACTAATTTTTTTTTTTTTGTCGCTGCATTTTACACGTTGAAAACAGAAAATACTTATGAAGAAAAAGAAAAAAACGGACGATTTATACAGAACTTTTTGTATCCAAATGTTATGTTGAAAAAAAAAGAAAAACTAGCTGAAGACTTATAGAATCGTGTATTAAACTGGTTTATAACACCAAATTATAGCATCTTTTATTGTTGCTGTTTAAAACCTCAGATTACTATTTTGTATTTTTGACTGAACAAAGAAGGAAACAAATAAAACAACTTTTAATTCATCTTTCTGAATCAGTATTTATGTAAGAGGAAAAAAGAAAGAAGGAATACGGAAGATATGCTATTTGCAGATTCATTTCAAACTGTTGTCAGCAGTTATTTTGGGCATTCATATAAAATTTACTGCTTTTATATGTGTATTTTTTTTTTTCAGTTTTCAATATTAATCGACAAATTTTTAAGAGATATTATTGAACACCGTTGTTCTTCTATAATTTTTAACTTTTAAATTTTTCAACTTTTGCTTATATAACTATTGAATTATAAAATTTAAATTTTATTTATATATGAAAACTTTTCTTTGCTTCATACAACTGTACAACGTAACTGTTTTCGGGTTTGTTGGAAATATTTATTGAATTTAAACGAGTTAAAGGGCAGTTACAGCAGTTGTCAGTCTTAATTTTAAACTTAATTGAATATCTTTGTTTTTTGTTTTTTGTTTCTTTTAGACTAAGATATTTTCATTGAAGAATTGAAAATATAAAAACAATTTGAACAGTTTAAAAAGCTTTATTTTTTTTAATAACTGTTTTATATATATATATTTTTTCGTTGTTCAATAGACTGCAAATTTCAATATATACATTTATCCGATCAGTCAGCATTTGGAAGTTTTTTTTGTTATTGTTAAACAGTATCAATGGTTTAGTATTTTTTTTTTTTTTTTTCAAACAACAACATTAATAACAGATATATTTATTGAAATAATTAGACGATTATCTGAAAAATCAATGTTTTTGCTTAGATAAATATAACACAACTAAACAACC